TTGAGGATTCCATCCAATCAGAGGAGACTATGCAAATAATGTAAAAGATTGTTTCCTGCCAATCTTTGAAGAATTCTAGTAACTCCTAGGCCAATTAGAGGAACTCAGGCCAGCAACAGTAGCCTGATTTATTACAATTAGAACAAAGTGCTCATCCATGAAAAAAGTTTATTGGGTGCTTCATACGTGGCCAGAACCATTCTAGATGCCCGTGGTAAATAAGACAGGCAAGGTCCTGAATTTTTGGAACGTTCATTTCAGTGAGACAATAAGGATTATATAATGTACCAGCCAGGATAAGTACGATGTAGAGAATTCAAGCAGGGTGATATGATGGGGACTCCCTGGCTGGTGAGTTTAGATCTGGTGGCCAGGAGAGGTCCCTCGGAAGAGGTAACATAGAGTCTGATGCTACGAGAAGCCAGCCATGAGATGATCGAGAGGCACAGTGTCCAGGCAGAGAACAGCCAGTGCAAAGACCCGGAGGCAGAATGAGCTTGACATATGTGAAGAACAGAAAGAAGGCGAGCGTAGCAGGCAAAGGCAAGAGGGAAGGAGTGGTGAGGGGAGTAGGCAGGGGATAGCCTATAGGTTCTCAACAGCGCGATATCACTTCTCAAGGAAGCAAAATGATTCTTGGTGGCAGGGACGAAAAGTCTTACTTTTTTTATGTGTAAAGCACAGATACACGTACAGTACACAAACACATATATACAGTATATCTGTGATATCAAAATTTCACAGCAGGAGGGGTAACTAGGAAAAAATGTCTAACAAGGTGCCTTAAACCAGTTGCCATTGAGCTGACTTCAACTCATGGCCACCCCATGTGTGTCAGAGTAGAACTGTGCTCCATAGGGGTTTCAATGGCTGATTTTTCAGAAGTAGATTGCCAGGCCTTTCTTCTGAGGTACCTTTGGGTACACTCGAACCTCCAACTTTTTGGTTAACAGCCATATAGGTTAACTGTTTATACCATTAAGGGGAGTGATAATGAAAAAAAGGTTGAGAAACACTGGGTTAGACTTTGGATACTCTTAAATGAAAAGGAGAATGCTTTATTGCAATGATCATAAAGTAATAAGTCAATGCTTTGTGGGACTAATTAGGAGATGCAAATCAGTTGGAAACCCTTGATGTTGATGGGTCATGAGCTTGAAGTGTATGCTTTCCTGAAGACCAGGAGCCTTTCCTGCTTTTCAGCCCTTTTTCCTGCAGGGACCCGCCACAGCTCTCTCTGACGTTGCACTTCCCTGCTTCTCTCCCTCTAGCTTATCATTCCCCACCTGTGATATACCATACATCAGGGTCAGGACTGGGCTGGGCTCTGACATGGGAGTTTTCGACCAGGTATGGGGACAGAGAGGAGGATGCTGGGGTTCCTTCTCCCTTCTGGCCTCAGGGAAGCTGACTCTGCCCATCCTTGCTCCTCAGGTGGTGAGCACAGGTGGAGGAGGCCATGTGGAGCTGCTCAAGCGAGCTGGAGCCTTTCTAACCTATAGCTCATTTTGTCCCCTTGATGACCTGGCTGACCGGGGCCTCCTGGGAGTCAAGTCTTGCTACTATGCCCAAGATGCACTGTGGCTCTGGGAAATCATCTCTAGGTGAGGCTGGTGAGGTGGGGATGGAGAAGAAGGCTAGGAAGACAGAAGGTCTGTATCTTGGGGGAGGGTAGATAACTTGGCTATGAGGGCAATGAGTGGAGGGCCTGGGCTCTCTGTTAGCTGCAGCTCTCTTGCCCTGACCCCTTGCCTGGCAGGTATGTGGAAGGCATTGTGAATCTCCACTATAAGACAGGTGTGGCTGTGAAAGATGACCTTGAGCTGCAGAGCTGGTGTCAAGAGATCACTGAAATTGGACTGCAAGGGGCCCAGGACAGAGGTAAGATGAGCGCCTGACCTGAGGTCTCAGACACTTCTCCTTGGAATCTCCCCGGAATTCTCTCTACTTCTATGGAACCTTCCAGAAGCATTTTATAAAAACTCCCAAAGGCTTGCCTAGAATCCTTACCCTCTCAGCTAGAGATAGGCTCCCATCCCATGAACCCAGAACCCCTTTAGGTCCCAGATGCAGTGGGACCAGTG